CACTTGTGACTTCTGTGAGTCATCAGATATATAGTTCCCGAGGGGGCAGTGAGAGAGTTTATCAATACTTGTCAGAACGCACAGGGACCTGTGCATTTCAAGTGGGTAGGTAGGCGATGACTGTGATAGACGGTAAAATCGATGATGGCTGTTTTATTGTGTAACAACTGCTGTGTCAGACACTGCCTTATTTTAAAAGTGCATTCCTGGTCCTTCCCCAGTTTAAGGTATGCTTTACAGGACAGTGTGAAACACCGGTTTAGAATACTCTTAGCTCTCACATATCCCCCCCAGGCCCCATCCCCACAATGCCACCTTAGAAAACAAAGAATCTAAAAATATTAGGATATACTAGTATTCCCAAAAGTGGGATCTCTGAGCAAAATGAATTGACCAACAAAATAAGACCCACAGGATGGAGGCATAGAACAGACTGACATACCTCAATGTGTGGTTGTGGGGACAAGAAGAGATAAACCAAAGAACTTATATACTAATAGGCATAGCCCATGGACACAGGCAATAGGATAGTGAAGATCTGGGGCTGTTAGGGGCTGGGAGGAGAGAGGGAAGGGAGGAAGAGGGGGAGATATCTATAATACTATCAACAATAAACATATATTAGAATCAAAATATTAAATTCACAACGCATATCTGTTAAAAGGCCAGAGTGTGGCCTTCATCAGAAAAGAAATGGAATTCAGCTCAGTGATAACTCTTGCCAAGTTCTGGAATGATCAGCTTTGACACAAAGCTTTCGGGAGGAGAGAAACCTAGTCAGTCTGAATTTTATAATTGGGAAAATTGAATCCAAATCCAGGTTTCATTTTCTATACACTTCAGATGCCTTCTTGTAGCCTTCAGACTCTCATGATAAGATTATGGCATATTTTTTTTTACAATTCTTGATTTTTAGTAAATGTACAAGTTGTGCAACCATCATATGAGGTTGTTTTTCATAGAACTTTATTCCTGGGCTATTTGGGAGAGAAATCATCCATACACGTTGATTGTATAGTATTAGGTACTCTAGGTGTGTTGTCTTTTCTTTGTAAAAGTGACGCATAATAATTAGAAGCACACACTCTAGAACCCGGCAACCTGCCTTCAAATTCGTTTGGCCACGGGCTGTGCCACCTTGAATACTCTAGGTGCCCAAGCCTTAGAGTTGTTATGAGTATCAAATGAGTCAATACATGTGAAGTTCTTAAGGCAGAACCTGGCTCATAGTATGTGCTATATATTTCTTTGGTCTTATTAATCACGTTTCCCTGATGAGGAAGATGAAGCAGAGGAAAACTTCCTGTGTCACAAACCCAGTGTCACAAATCTAATGAGGCCTAGGACAAGCTGAACGAGGTTTATCTCCCAGCATTGTCCTTCAGGATATGGCCCCTGAAAAATCAGATATTTTAAATAAAGTGCATTGTTTAGATATCCTTCCTGAAGATTGCTTGAAGTCTCTAGACTATGTGTAACTATAATTGCATTAGTATTATTAAAAAATTATATATGTTATGCCTAATACAACTCCCTCACATTTTACTTACGTAACATATATTTATTGAGCATCTACTATATACCAGACACTCTACTGGATACATTAAAGAGTAAAGAAGTAAGTAATCCATGGCTCCTGCTTTAAGGTTGCATACTCAGTTGTACTGTAGCAAACACCACCATTGACGATGACAAGCCTGGATTGATCGTCTAAAACCCATGTGACCCAGAACCCATTCCCCAGTACATTGGGCTTATTTTTACAATAATTAAGGTCAGTGTTCATAGGACATTGATAGAATACCATTTTGAGAGTTGCATATGATCACAAAGGAAAAAGTGATTGACCACTACTTTCTCTCTATATATATCTCTTTATTTTAATGTTTTACTTAAAACTTTTAGTAACTTGAACAAGATATGCCCCAAAGAAGCTACTGTGTTTTTGCCAGTCTTTTAATCTTACAATTATTATTAAAAATGAAACTGAACTAGTTTCTTTCTGAAGAAAACTCTGACATAGCATGGCATTATTTATATCTGATACTAGAGGCTCGGTGCACGAAATTCATGCACGGGGGTGGGGGGGTCCCTCAACCAGGCCTGCACCTTCTCCAATCTGGGACCCCTCAGGGGATGTCCAACTGCCACTTTAGGTCAGATCCCTTAGGTAGTCAGACATCCTTCTCACAATCTGGGACTGGCTCCTAACAACCATCACCTGCCCGCCCTCCCCTGTCGGCCTGATCACCCCTATCTGCTCTCTCCTGCTGGCTGCTGGCCTGATCTCCCCCAACTGCCCTCTCCCCTGCTGGCCTGGTTGCCCCCAACTGCCCTCCCTGCCGGCCTGATCGCCTCTAACCCCCTGTGAGCCTGATCTCACCCCTAACTGCCTCTGCCTCGACCCCCACCACCATGGCTTTGTCCAGAAGAAAGTTGGACATCTGGAAGATGGCCAGCTGACCCGGTCTAATTAGCCTATTACCCTTTTATTAGTCTAGACCAGGGGTCCTCAAACTACAGCCCGCTGGCCACATGCAAATACAAATATTGTATTTGTTCCCATTTTGGTTTTTTACTTCAAAATAAAATATGTGCAGTGTGCATTGGAATTTGTTCATATTTTTTTTAAACTATAGTATGGCCCTCCAACGGTCTGAGGGACAGTGAACTGGCCTCCTGTTTAAAAAGTTTGAGGACCCCTGGTCTAGACAATACTAATTTCTAACATTTAACTTTGTTTTTTCCATATGCTGGATGCGTTGCTCTGCATTAAAAAAAAATCATTCTCTATAGACCTCCCATTAATTATAAGAGGAATAAATATTTACTAACATTTACTGAAGAGAAAACTAAAATTTATTGGCAATTAAGAAACTTATCTAAAGTCAAAAATTTTAATAAATTCAAGACCTGGATTTAAATCCAGATTTACCTGACATCAAAATCTGTATGCTTAAACACTAGTTGATATTTCTACTCAGCCTATCCCCTTAGAAAACCGTCATATTTAAGACCACTAAGAGCTGCAATGCAAATTTATTTAGAAAACAATATCCTTGTATAGCGTTTTTAAATGTTGATTTTAGTGAGATAATAAATGTGTAGAAGGCAAAAATATTGATTGTTATATCTAATATTTTTGAAAGATGACATTTGAGACAGGTTATCAAAGATCCCTGTACACAGGGGCTCCTTTAACCACTTACAATAGAGAACTTCAGGTGTTTTCACAGTTCTGCAAAATGCTTTATATTGTTGTCAAATCACAAAATCTATTTTATGCAGGAAAAAAAAAGGAAAAGATTAGACTTCTGTGGTGAGAAGGATTGAGCAGAAATGTCAATACATTCTTCTGTTATTTCCCAGGCTTGACCTGTTAGCAAATCTAAATATCAGCTCCCAGGAATTTAAGGAAACACCTTGTATAGAGAATATTCGGTATTCACAATCTCTCTAACATATGCTCTGATATTTCCATTTTTGAGCCTTTTAAAAAAAGTCTTTGCAGTCAAAACACTATTATATTAATTCTGTAATATTTGCTATTTACCTTTGGGCCCAATTTGCATTATGCCCTCTTTTGCATCTATACTGAAAGGTGAGTATCTTCCCAACATGCACTGTGCCTTGATCCTGTTTTCTTCGTGGGTCCTGTTCTCATCTTTGCTGACTGCAGAACTCCTGTGAGATGTACAGCCCCACTTCACAGCCACACAGCACCTACGTACTGATCGCACCCAAGTTCATCCTATTCCCAGTCCTCACGGTTCACTGACCTCCGTTTTTAACCATTTTGGGGACTTTTCATAAGCTCCCTCAAACTTTTTGGAATAATTGCTGGACCCAGCCCTACAAAGTTATAGAAGAGAAACTGAAGAACCACTGTCAGCACTGGACTCCTAGATACGACTATGTTATGCTTTCTGTTTAATCTGCATTCCCTCCTCTTCACTAAACGTAGATTTCTTCCCAGGAGTATCATTTGATGGGTGGCCTTCTAAAAACTGCAAAGAAAGTAAGAGTATATCATCAATTAACACATTTTAAAAAGTGCAGCCCAGTCTATGTGGCTCAGTGGTTGAATATTGATCTATGAACAGCCATGGGCAAACTATGGCCCACGGGCCGGATTCAGCCCGTTTGAAATGAATAAAACAAAACAAACAAACAAACAAACAAAAAAAAGACCGTACCCTTTTATGTAATGATGTTTACTTTGAATTTATATTAGTTCACACAAACACTGCATCCATGCTTTTGTTCCGGCCCTCCGGTCCAGTTTAAGAACCCATTGTGGCCCTCGAGTCAAAAAGTTTGCCCACCCCTGATCTATGAACCAAGAGGTCACTGGTTCAATTCCTAGTCAGAGCACATGCCCAGGTTGTGAGCTTGATCCCCAGTAGGGGGCGTGCAGGAGGCTGCTGATCAATGATTCTCTCTCATCATTGATGTTTCTCTCTATCCCTCTCACTTCCCCTCTCTCTAACGATCAATATAAACACTTTTTAAAGTACAATGATCCTACCACCTTGGTTCTTCCTGTATTCATGTGTATGTTTTATTCTTATGTCTTATGTGCAGATTGAAGAGAGCAGAGGCAATTATCTCCTAACATTAGGGTGTGTAAGAGGTATCTGACGCAGGTGTAGGTTCCTTGTCTTGTAAATGGAACATTTGTGGCATTTTATAGCAAATACATCAAGTGTATTTTTAATTTCTATATATTAGGAGAAAATGACTGGATAATGATAAAATGTACTCATTTCCACTTCTCCCAATGGAAGAACAAACTTCTATCTTGGCTAGGAATAGAAATTTTATCACCTTGAACATATATTTTATTTTTAAATCAACCAATGTTTTTTATCTTTATTCATGTTAGATAGGAGTATGTTCTCCCAAGAAATGCTTATTGGATTTGTACTGTAACTTCTTTTCTTTAATATGAAGAACATGGAGGCACCATCTAAGTTTTGTTTTTGTTTGTTTGTGTGTAGCGTGGAGACGATCAATGATGGAAACTTTCACATTGTGGAGCTACTTGCCCTGGACCAGAGTCTCTCCCTCTCCGTGGATGGAGGGAGCCCCAAAATCATCACCAACTTGTCAAAGCAGTCCACTCTGAATTTTGACTCCCCACTCTATGTAGGAGGTAAGCACTTTTCCAAATCCAGTGGGTTCTGATGTGTCATTGTCATCAAAGCCTGATTCTGAAGTTGTTGGCGCCTGGTCCCATGGTCAATGACCAGTACTGCTCCATCCCTGAAAGACAAGGATAGAAAAGGAAGAACCCAAATAAGCTGTTAAGGGACCATTTGTAATCCCAGCTCTGGTTTTAACTAACTGGGTCATTGGGGTGGAGAAAAACATTGGTATTTCTTTGTGTCTATCACATACTAGGTGATTTATACACTATAGAAATTCATCTTATTATTTAATCTGGTCTATGGAAAAAGGAAGTGGTGAGAGAACAAATCAGACAATGAAAAAATGACAAAACAGGTTTGATGCACAGTGTGGAGTGCATGACCTCACCCCAGCTCCAACATATTACCATGCTGGAATGTCTGGGCCACCAGTGGCTAACTCACTTAAATGACAGGATAATTACTAATGAAACTGAATAAATGAATGAATGAATGAACGAACGAACGAATAAATGAATGAGTTAAATGTACAAATTGCATTGGGGTAATAGAAAGTATTTTTGTTTAGCTGTGACCTTAATGTGGGTGAACAAGAGAAAGGGTTGGGAAGGCAGATGATTCAGGCTTAGAGGGATAAAGACTTTGGACTTTATTTTAAGCAAGAAGAAGTCAGATGAGTAAATAGATGAGGAAGGAAGTATCAGCA